ATTCTTCTGACGTTACAGTCTCGTTGAAATCTCGTTCTGGGATTATTTCCAAAACATGTGATACAAGTGGAAAACATCAATGAATTTAAAAAATGTCATAATCAAACTTAACTCTGTGAAAAAATTGTGTATTTACAATGAGTAGTTTTTTAGTAATCAATTTTTCAAATTTTATTACCAATCAAGTCATTCTTTTTAGCGAACATTTTGAGAAAATGGGTGAGGGGTACAAGAAATGATTTTACCGGAAACTTGTACATCCCATATTACTTTTTTCTTTTCAAATTTCTTAGATTTGTATTTTTTCAATCATTTATAACAAAGAAGTTGAAATAATATGCATTTTGTTCTTAAAACAGACAAAAATTACAAATTTACAAAATTGACAGCATGGTTTATTTGACACAAAAAAAACATTAAAATATCATAAAATTTTCTTATATTAACACCTACCTATAGTTTTTTTAAGTTAAATTTATTCAGATTGGTCCACTTCATCTTTATTGAAAGTATAAAAAAAGTTTAATTGTGGAACTGTGATTTTTTTCACGATAATAGCCCATAAATAGGTAAAAATTGATGAAAAATGGGAAAATCATCAAAATTGGGTACTTTCAACGGGCTGTAACAAAAAAGAAGTGCACCAACATATGATTTTTTCTTCACCAATCATTATTTTACAGTCATATAAACACAAAAATCAGGTTAAGAAAAAAAGTTTAATTCTAGAAATGTTTGGCTCCTCAGAGGTGTACATCCTTAAAACAGACATTTCTAAAATTCCCCGTTGATGAATTCAGATGTTATTTCTAAATTTCCAACTCTCTCAGGCAAAGTTGACCTTTGATGATTTTGGATATACAGTTGGTTACATTTCTACGTATTTATACATCCCTTGCTTTCAATGTTAAGATTTGAGCGTTCCTGATGCAAGTAAATTTAAAATTTATAAAAACGCTTCGGATGCACAACATTTACTACACTTTTAAATGGTATAAAATGCAAATAAAAAAGACATATTCATTTCCTTTGATTTCTTTAAATTTCAGACACAGACTCAACTATAAATTTCTTGAATGCTTACTTAAATTACAGTTAAGTATACTTCCGAAATAAAGTATTTTATATGGAAAAGGTGTCTCATCGACAATTATGCATCATATCCTTTTTATATACTTAAAGAGACACTAGCTACGAGATATATAAAAAATCTAAAAGATTATTTTTTTGTTCAATCATTAATGAAACTGAAATAGTGAAATAATAATTCGCTTTTAGCAGCCAGTCTGGTTCAATTTTGTCAAAATAAGCTAAGAAGCAAGTGAATAATTCGACCTCATTGAATCCGTATGCATGCGAACTTCAATTTAACCCCTTTGCAAGAAATGGATAACGCATGAATTGTGCGTGTTAAGTTATTTAAAGGAAAAGAATGTCAACAATGAAAGTGAAACGAAGGTAAATAATTTGATTGACTGATTCGATCCACAAAAATATTATATACAGGTAAAAACGATGATTAACATATATTTTTAATCTATAGTATGAAAATAAACAGACCTAGAAAAATTCAATTGCATGAGTTCAAAATTTATTTATATCTATATTTATGTTTATATCGCTTATATGACCATCGGAGATCTTCGGAGGTCAACTCGATAATTAATTAGATGGCGTCTAGACTAAAATACACACGAAACGAAGCTATATATTATCGAGCCATGCCCTGTAAATTGTTTATTTTAGACTTTTTATAATCTGGATAAATGTTTTACATTGTTATGAATCAAATATGAGAATTTGAGTCAAATCGGTGAACACGAATTTGACAGCTAGTGTCCCTTTAATCACCAATACATGTAGGTCAAGGCAAATAAACAGCAATGTTGACATAAAAGAGAGGATAGTATCATGTGGGCTGCATGTTTATGGATATTGAATACTTCGTTTTCTATTACAAATTTTTCACAAACTGTCATTTTGGATTACAAATATTAAATTAAATTACAAAATAAAAGGATAAAAGACGAATTCTTTTTAAAATTGGATTTCAATACTTATTTGACATTCCCATTAATTTAAACAAACGAACAAGCTTACAAATATAAGGTACGTGTTTTGCATTTGTAAAAGAAAAAAAAACAGCAGTAAATTTTGGTTTAATATCTGTATAATTGCCAATCATACCTTTATCTTCTTACTTTTGTATAATTTGTATAAAAATTAATGAAAAACATATTTCATATAATACATGTATGTTTGTTTTAGTAGTGATTTAAATATGTTAGTGCATGTATATCAGATGCATTTAAACAATTTTCGAGGAAACTACAGACAAACGTTTGGCGAACAGTTTACTCATGTTTAATTGACGTGTTCGTCATAAAAGGGAACTTAAATCTCAAATTGGAAAAGAAACACGAATACTATTGTGTCTATGTATCTTATTAATTTTATCTAACTTTTATCGTATTTCATTTATTTATTTGTTTATTTGTTCGGTTTTCTGTTTTACTTTATACGCATTTGTCTATTTTCTTTTTCTTTTTTCTATATTACTTTAAACAAAATATTCTATAATTTCGTTTTTGTCGAGCCTGCGACTTTTGTCGCAGAAAGCTCGACATAGGGATAGTGATCCGGCGGCGGCGGCGGCGGCGGCTACGGCGGCGGCGGCGTTAGCTAACTTCTTAAAAGCTTTATATTTTAGAAGGTAGAAGATCTGGATGCTTCATACTTTGTATATGGATGCCTCATGTTACGAAGTTTCCGTCAGTCACTTGTCCAATGTCCTTGACGTCATTTTCATGGTTCAGTGACTACTTAAAAAAAAAAGTTAAGATTTTTTGTAATGTTAAATTCTCTCTTATTATAAGTAATAGGATAACTATATTTGGTATGTGCGTACCTTGCAAGGTCCTCATGCCCGTCAGACAGTTTTCACTTGACCTCGACCTCATTTCATGGATCAGTGAACAAGGTTAAGTTTTGGTGGTCAAGTCCATATCTCAGATACTATAAGCAATAGGTCTAGTCTATTCGGTGTATGGAAGGACTGTAAGGTGTACATGTCCAACTGGCAGGTGTCATCTGACCTTGACCTCATTTTCATGGTTCAGTGGTCAAAGTTAAGTTTTTGAGTTTTGGTCTTTTTTTCTAATACTATATATGCAATAGTTCAACTATATTTGGTGTATGGAAATATTTTATGATCTATATGTCAGTCACGCAGGTTTTATTTGACCTTGACCTCATTTTCAAGGTTCATTGCTCAGTGTTAAGTTTTTGTGTTTTGGTCTGTTTTTCTTAAACTATAAGCAATAGGTCAACTATATTTGTTGTATGGAAGATTTGTTAGCTGTACATGACTGCCTTGCATGGTTTTTCGGACCTTGACCTCATTTTCATGGTTCATTGGTCAATGTTTAGTTTACTTGGTTAATGTTAAGTTTATGTGGCAGTTGTAAAAAAGCTTTATATTTAGGACTATCAACATAATATCAATGATTAGTAAAGAAGGCGAGACATTTCAGCGTGTGCACTCTTGTTACTTTAATTTTCATGTTTAAACATTTAGTGTTGTTCGTTTTATGTTTAGATTCCTATTATTATTGTTTTCAGGTTTTTGACCTCCAGAATTGTTGAATATATAAGTCCGTGCCAACATTTACGAAATAATACTACACGGCATAATGTTTCATAACGTTAGATTGTATTATGTGAGGTTAACAGTTGTTGTCCATTCGTTTGATGTGTTTGATCTTTTGATTTTGCCATTTGATTAGGGACTTTCCTTTTTGAATTTTCCTCGGAGTTCAGTATTTTTGTGATTTTACTTTTTATGTTATAAGTTGGGTATAAAAACATTTCTAATAAAATGTAATCCTAATATTTCACCTGCAATAAACATCCTCTTAAGTGCCCATCGACTAGCACATGTATAGTTGTCTTTCAATAACATATTACCAGTAGTTTTGATAATAATAACGGAAATATAAGATTTATATTTTCTCACTGCTTAAGCATAACTGTATACAAATAAACATAATTTTGATCGAATATTGGAAAGAAATATAACAGAACTAAGACATCCAAGACTAATTTTTTTTATTATTAATTCCTTCGTATTGAAAATATGACTTACAGAGGAAAAGGCTAGTTAATTACCCGTGTTCTAAACCACGACCAAAGAACTGCTTTTTAATTTACGTCATTGACAGACTGTTCTAGCTTACAACATATAATGATAGGTCTACTCTAGAATAGATTATGACAGTTATATTCGAGAACAGATTTGGACAATTCTACCCTGGAACGGATCCTGACAATCTTACCAAAGTACAATTATTTCGAAATCTACCCTGGGAATAATTCTGACAGTTTTTTTATTCAAGCATTACTGATGAGTCTTTTGTAGACGAAACGCGAGTCTGGTTTACAAAATTTTAATCTTGGTATCTACAATAATGAGTTTATCGAGAACTGGTCTACAACTGTTTTGAATAATTCTATGACAGATTATTCTAAAAGTTCTGAAGAGAGGTCAGAACCGAACCCCACTGTAGTTACATGTATTATGGAATTTTATGCGACTGTCATACAAGTGAGAGGTTTAGCTAGCTATTAAACCAGGTTTAATCCACCATTTTCTACATAAGGAAATGTCTGTACCAAGTCAGGAATATGACAGTTGTTTTCTATTTGATTGATGTGTTTAAGCATTTGATTTTGACATTTGATAAGGGACTTTCCGATTTGAATTTTCCTTGGAGTTTGGTACTTTTGTTATTTTACTTTATACTAATCAGTTTACACCAAAACAAAAAAGCAAACTGCATGAACGATCTACAGATACATGCATACTATCTTATATTACGTAATTGTATAACAAAAAAGACTTACTGGAACTTATTAGAAATGTTGGCAGTATGTTATTACGACTGATGACGACAGCATTAAGGCATTCTGTCATTTTTCCAGGTGGTCTACAGAAATATTCAAGTTGGAATTAGAGTTATGACGTTGTTGTTCAAATTCTTTGTATATTTAGTGTTTATCAATCGGTAATCTAGATAAATTGTGTTGTTGTTCAATTTCTGAAGTATAGCAGTATTGTAACCGACACTACATGTGTTATTTAATTGTAATAAAATGGGAAATAACGGACTTAAAATTAACGGTATGGAGAAAATAATTGGATTACAAATTATTTTATTCATGATTGTTTATGTTGCTGGTACCCCCTGTTTGAAGTCCAGTTCAGCATGCCAAGAAATAAGAATGCCACTAGTGTCAAACGAACTTATAGCCCCACTCGTAGCGGAACTGGATATAACCTCAATGAACAAACAGTTAAAATCCTACATAAGTGAGGACATTCAATTAACATTTTCCAAGGATATCAAAGACATGGTAAAAAATGAACAAACCAATTTAAAGACTACAATGTTAAAGGATTACTCGTCCAAAATGAAGGAGACAAAGGAAGGATATGACATGAAAATATCAGATATAATTCAAAATCTCCAAGCCAACGAAAGAAAAGTTCAAGAAGAAATGTCTGAAGTTTATAAGAATTTAAATGCATCTGAAGCAAACTTTAATAAGAAAATGACAGATTTGTTGAGCGGATTTGAACAAAAACAAGAAAGCCTAAAACGAGCAATGTTATCGGAGTATTTATCCAAGCTCCAAGTATCACATGGCACCAACAACAAACAAATAATTGAACTTGCAAATGATTTGAAAACTCAATTTGCAAATTTATCACGAAATATTAAAGATGAATTGCAAACTCAAAAAAAGGATTTGGAAGAATGGAAAACCAATTTGATTGAAAAACTGAATGGTAAGGTCATTTGAAATATTAGTCATCATGAATTACATAAATAGGAAACCAGGGAACGAAAACATATTTGACAGAACACCAGACCATACAAACGATCAGTAATCGACTCCTACAAAAAAAAAGACTAATAGAAAAATGAAAACGAACGACACACAGTCCAAATAGTCTTACTTGGTACAGGTAAATACATGTATATTTAAATCGAAACAGGTTTTACGTGCCAATGACTTTTGAAGAGAAAGACAAGGTATAATAATAATATAAACGGTGCTAATTGTCTGTATCAGATAAGCATTTTGACGTAAAAGACTGATCTAAGTGCATATATTGTATCCATTTTAATTGCGAATCAGTTTGAAAGCATATTGTAATAAATCAATTGAACTGAAATTAAAACAAAATCTTATGATTGAACATTGATTTTAGTTTGATCAACGTCTAATGCAAACATTCGAACCAAAAACAGAAAGAGAATTATTTGAACAAACAAATTAGTAGAATTTACAGAGCAGTTAAAACCGAGTCGTATAATCCTAATTCTAATACTCGAATACAAAGAAAGGCTGGCTGTCACCAAACAGGAGCGTCGACTTTATATCGGTAACCTCTTAGATTACTTGGAGGAAATTTATTTAATAGTAATGGAACACCCGGTGCGAGTTAAAGCGCACACCTACTACCTATATAAACGTCTGTTGACAAAGGTTTTTCAATAAAATATAAAGCGTGTCGATAGAGACAGTTATTTGAAATTTTTCCTGGTATAAGAGATAAATATTTTCATAGGTAGGCAATTACTATATATACTGAATATTAAAGAAGATGGTGATTATACGGTAGTGATCCCTGAAGTCAACGACAAAAAAAATCTGAAAAAAAAAAATGGATTTTAAAACCGAGATTTTTGCCATTCATACATTGTTTAGTTTGCAAAATAAATGTTTACGTTCTATCGCATTCAATTGGTTTTACAAACAATTCATTTTAAGATCAATATGACTTATTTTCAATAGTTTAGAGTGTTGGCACTATATATTATGATTTTTATATACGGTACTCTTATATTTACATGCAATAATTCTGCAGAACGAAATTTTGGAGAATTAAAACATGTTCTTTTTCTCTCTGGTACTAATATCAAGGAACAAATATCGATATTCTTTCCCTGAGGGGTAAACCCGGGTAGCTATAGGATTCCACTCCCGTTCCTTTTACCGATAAATACACCATGCGTATACATATAAAGATAAGAAGATGTGGTATGATTGTCAATGAGACATTTCTACCAGAGATCGACCAAATGACATAGAAGTTAACAACTACATGTTTGCTAGCTGAAATTCACCACGAAAAGTGATGTTTACTGAATATGACATTTTTTGGGGAGTCTATAAGGCCAAGGTGTTCATTCAAGTGTGTCTTTACACCTGTTTTCGATAAAAATAGACATAATTCTGATTGAATGTGTTATTTGAAAGAAGGACATTTCTAAGTAATCTATAATAACTTTGTTTTATATGTTGACTGTATTTTCAATCGTGAATAAAGTTAATGGACAGGCAGCGAATTAGGTCAAATTTCAGATAATGCGAGAAATTTTTCAAATATTAAAAGTAAGAAAAAAATATCTTTCGAGTCATTCCAAAACCATATAATGTAATTCACATGATTAATAGTGATATACTTCTTCAATAATAACATTTCTGCAATTTTACCATTTGAAATACTCAGAATTTGTAAGCAAAGGACAATAGGAAAGCAAGAACTCGAAGAAAATTCATACCCAACAAAAAAAGAAGTTGTTGAGTTTCCCTTGGCACTGATTTTATAATCCAATTTTGAAAGATAACCTATGTCTAGGTTATATGAAAAGTCGGCAATAGTCAATAAGGTACTATTATTCGATTAGTGATTGCTTTACGTGCGAGAAATTTAAAAGGAATGATTAGATATTTGGACGAAATGGACTTCTGACAAGATAAGTTGGGGTTCTTCCCCCATCACTATAATGACCCGTTTAGCAATGCCAGACCAAATTAAATGTCTCCAAGCCTAAACAAACAAAAGTATCTTAGTACATATAATTGTCGATATGAGTAATCTGCAAATATACACATGTACTTAGTCATTATATCTATAAGAATTAAACCATGTGTATTTGAAGCCCTAAAACAAATTTAAGTACAGCCCACATATACCTTAGCAATGGCACATTACACATCAATTATTTAAAAAACTTTAAATATTTGATGTTCTACGATTTTATCTTGCTCTAAAGCACTTATTTGTAGAAAAAATAATTCAAATCATTCGTGTAATGATCGTGTACCCTTATTTTTTTGGCCGGGTCGGACGAAATTCAAAACTGTTTTATATATACGGATGGTGATGTCTGGCGGCTGGACGGCAGGGCGGCTTGGCGGACGGCCATTGAATAGTTGGTAACTTATTTATGTAATCCACTCCAGACCTACTGTTTACAACCAAGATCCCTGAAACTTTACAGAAAGATTGCACATATATTGTATTTGTGCACCTGCTATTATTGAATTGTTTGAATTATGTGTTAGAATTTTCATGACTTGGGACCTTATCATTTTTCATCCAAATTTACAACCTTCGTGTAATTGCAACTACATCATAAACATGCTACATTGATCATGTTGATCAGTCACATATATTACAATAGTCCATTTGAGACTTTAATTCATTTATGTTATTATTGTAATATTTATCAATATTTTCAACACCTCCGTTTAATTTTTGGTAGAGTTAAATAAATCTTGTAGTAATATTAAATGAGGCTGCAACACAAACCCAGTACAATAAGAATAACTGTGTTAGATAAATTCTTATTCAGTTTTGAGGTAACTGACTGGAATATATGTACCAGCATCTTTTGTGTATATTTGACAGTCATCTCCCTTAATCTACAGAAATCCATAAATTTTGTGATCTTTAAGGTGCTCAACCAAATAAATTCTTTTCTAGCTATTTTTCACTCTAAAGTTCAAACGGCAATCACACATATTGCAATAGTTAGTGTTCTACCATAAGTATATATCAGCTGTGGATTGTATATTGTAAATGAAACGACTGCTTGTAGCACGGTAAATAAAGAGAACAGTGATCAACCTTGTGGTGTTACTTTAATATGACTGCTCTAATTGGTTTGATACAGTAAGATTAAAAATTTGTGAGATGAAAAAATAATATTCGAAATTTGTAAATGATGAATTAAATTTTATTTCGTAACTTGTACTTTATCATTAATTATGATGATTGCGATATTGTGCAAACACAAAAACATCAGTTAACCATAAGACCTATATCTTAACATTATAATGGAAATCTCGTTGAGGTTAATAAATGAATTCTTATACTTTTATATGTTCCGTTTATAATTATCATTCATGTTACCATAAAGTATTTGAACATTACATACTATGGTTATGATAGTACATTAATTATAACACCAAAACAGTTCTAGCAGGAAGCAAAAGTAAATGGAACAATTCCTTTTTTCTTGCCTTTCTCTGAATCAGATGCTTAAAACAATTTCAGAGACAACAATATATACAACAAATGTTAAAGAAGAAACCAATTAAAATATTTTTTCCAGATACATTAGCTACTCAAAAGTATAAAGACTGCAGCTATATGAAAGGAAAAAACAAACCAAGTGGAGAATATATCATATACCCGGAAAGTTTAAATGGAATCCAAACATACTGTGATATGACTACTGACGGCGGAGGATGGACCGTATGTTTAATTGTTATTTCGTCGAATATTTTTTTGTACAATTAACTTAGATATGAAGTGTCCTATTTAAGGGTGTCAAGTTGCTGTATTATGTTAAAAAACAAATTATGAAAGCCTGACATTTGACTGAACAGATCACAATTTTCTGCCAAGGAGCATGTCTCACCAATATAGAAATTTTTCAAAAAAAGCTAAAATTTAATTAGATTTTTTTATTTATAAATTAGGTCATTGGTTTTCTAAAATGATTTATTCATATTTTTCGAATGGCCTTTTAAAGCGGACTAAACGTTATCGGTTTTTTTCATTTTTGAAGGCCGTACGGTTGCCTATAATTGCTAAAATCTACTTCAGTTGAACTCTGGTGGAAAGTTGGCAATCATACCACGTCTACTTATTTTTATATTGACTATTTTTAGATCAGATCTGATATCGTGTTAAAGTTATTATGACTGTGCTAGAATGAACTGGTTATGTATAAGTATTATCTTGCAACATTTATTTATGGTACGTTCATATTGTACCTGTATGCAACCATCTGGATTTAGACATAATTTTTTTAGACATTTTTTTATCCTATTGAGCTAAAAGCCATACATACACAATTTATTACACACTGAGGCTGCATATATTTTACACTGTATTATCTTAAAGTCATGAGGATGACCATCCTACTATTATTTGTAATTATCGTAAGTTCATATGTGTTTAGCCATAATTGATGATTCATACCAACAACAATTGCATGGTAATTTTAAGATGTGTGATTGTGAATGAATGTTTTTGTAGATGTTGATTTTATGTCTGCTTTATCATGTTTATCTTTAATTTATTGATAAATCCAAACATGCATTTAGAAGTCAAAATATAATGCTTGCAAAAAAAAATCTATTGTACATTCAAATTAAATTCGCTTAACAGTTGCCATGATAATAATATTAACAGTTGCCATGATAATAATATATTCAGCTGGTATGATAATAATTTCAACAGTTGCCATGATAATAATATTAACAGTTGGTATGATAATAATATTAACAGTTGCCATGATAATAATATGAACAGTTGCCATGATAATAATATTAACAGTTGGTATGATAATAATATTAACAGTTGCCATGATAATAATATTAACAGTTGCCATGATAATAATATTAACAGTTGCCATGATAATAATATTAACAGTTAGGATTGGTTTTATCTTCCTTTCGATATATCAGAATAATCTGTCAATTAACGGTTCTAAACAGTTTTACCTTGATCAGTTCTACCATGAAACTTTCATGATCAGTTCTTGGGTTGATAAAAACAACAACTATATATATTTCGGGCGTCCGAAGTACTATCAAGAACGCTTAAACCTAAACTTTCAAAAGCCAAGGATGTGTCAAAACGTTGTAACAATAGCATCTATATGATCAAAATGTCCAAATCTGTTCTAAAGTAGAACTACCAGAATCTGTTCCGCATGAGCACCTGCAAGCATTCCCGGTTTGCTGGTCCTTTAGTTTTCTATGTTGTGTGTTGTGTACAGTTGTTTGTCTTTTTGTCTTTTTCTTTTCTTTTTTTTTTTGCCTTTGCGTTGTCAGTTAATTTTAAGACTTACCAGTATGAGCTTGAATGTCCCTTTAGTATATTTCGCATTTATTCAATCATATAACCGTTCTAAATATTATTGATAAACTCATAATAAATACCAAGATTCAAATTTTGTACGTCAGATGCGCGTTTCGTCTTCAAAAGACTCATTAGTGACGCTCGAATAAAAAAAAATTAAAAAGAAATAAGAGCAGTTCTCTGATCGTGATTTAGTACAGGGACGTGTTCTGGATTTGTTTAGGGTAGAAATGTAAGAATCATTTCTAATGTATTACTGTCAGAATCAGTTCAAGTGTAGAACTGTCCAAAACTGTTCTTATTCAAAACTGTTAGAATCTGTTCTAAATTATAACTGTCCAAAATTGTGCTTTGTTCAAACTCTCCACAAACTGTTCGTTCTAGGGTACAACGCTTCAGTCAGAAACTGTTTTACGGTGTCAGGAGAGTTGTCCCGACAGATTTTGAAATATTCGTAGAGGGGCTTTATTTGATTCAAACTGTAAGTGATACAAATGGATAATTAATAACATTAAATGTACAAATTTTAATGCACCAAATGCGCATTTTGACTAACAATTTTTCTTCGATTGGTCGAGGTCAAAATTTTAAACTTAATACAAACGACCAAAAGCTGATATAATCCAAGTGGATCAAACAAGGAACCAAAGCAATAGATGATTCTTGTTTTATGTAGTTCATATTCTAAACATCTGAATTATATATAAAACATTTAATATATGTGTGTAGGTAATTCAAAGAAGAATTGATGGGACTACAAACTTTGATAGAACCTGGAATGAATATAAGGAAGGGTTCGGTGATGTGGAAAAAGAATACTGGCTTGGTAAGTAATCGTTTAATACTGGTTCTCTGTAACTATTTAAACTCTTACATAGGGAGTGTGGCACGCATGGTCATGGATTTTCTTCAAAATTCACAAACTTACTAGTCTTGATGAAACAAACAAAAAATGGCAAAATTTTGGTTGCTAAGCATATCGGTTGTCATAGCAACTGATGACCAGTTTTACCTCTTCTGGCCATCTATGATTTTAAGCTGAAAAAGGCTATTTTCAACATAATTTTTCTTAATAAATGATTAAGAGAAAGAATATTTTTTTATAATTTTATAAATATATGCATTTTATTAATGTAATTTAATATATGATATTTTCATATTCATTTTCAATCATAATCATATATACCCCCCTTTTTATGTGGTTGGCATTAGGTAAAAAATACCCTTTTGAGGTCATTTTTGAATGACCACCATAATTTTTTGCGGACACCTGAGTTAAAGTCAAGCATGAATTCATAAATACCATAGTCTTATCTTATCAATGATGCGAAAAAGTAATGGGGAAGTATGTCTCATTTTTTTGTTACCATGGATACAAAATGCTTAGTTTTCATTTTTCAGAAAGAAAAAAAAATCAAAAATTTGGAAAAAAAAGTTTTAAACCCTAATTCTGCGGTCAGAAAAAAATAAATAAATATACAATTTGTGGAAATTATTGTAATCATCAAAATATTTAACATATTCATATATAACGGTATTGTAGTTTTAACTGTGTTGCTATAGAAACAATTTCTTGATGATACACATGTTTAAAACAATTTTGAAAAAGTTTCAGTTAATTTCTTAAAGTTGCACAAAAGTAGGAAAACTAAAACACTTATTAAGTTTAACTGTATACTGACATGTATATATATAAATAATTTTGCTAATATAGTATATCGATAATGGTGTTACCACTTGAAGGAAACAAATATAATTTCTCTAATCTGGATAAAAGTGCTGATAATGAAGAAATTTCAGTCTGTTTTCATGATTATGAAAAATATACAAGAAAAACTAGAAAAAACAAATAAAATCATTTAAATAATTATATATTCAATTGTGCAATATTTGCCATTGAATGTGTTGCCATGGAAACAAGCAGTCCATTTGCAAATATATTGATAAGTGCTAATTTTTACAAATTCGTTTAATGAATTTCGATACATATAGCAATGAATGTGTACAATTTTGCTTACATTATGCAGGTTTTCTTGTATTTATGAAATATTAATAATATTCCAGGCATTATTAGTGATAGTGTTGCCATAGAAACAACAAATTATATGCATAAACTTGGAAAACGCATTAAAATAGACTAAATCTCTCATTCAAAAACTCTCTTCTTTAAGTTTTCAATTTAATGCAGTGTCAAAGAATGATGGTTTTTACAAGTCATTCCATGAACTGTTATTCAAATGCTGTAATGAAGATTATAGATCAAAGTGCCACTATGTGTTGACAGTTTGTGGGGGGGGGGGGGGGGGGGGGGGGGGGGCTGGTTGTAAGATTTTGTAAAAAAGAAATGATCGATTGTCCAGTGTCAAACATCTCATGCATATATTTCAAAAGAGAACAAAATCAATAAATTTATTAGGAACATTGTAGGTTCTGTGCTAATCTACTGACTAAAATTTAATCAAAGACAATAATTTGATACAATTCAACACAATAAAAAACACAAACAAAAGAGTCAGACGTTGATCCTTTAAATAAATGATAATTGACCATCTAACCTTTCCATAAGGGAAAAAATACCTTGATTATGCGCTGTTTATTTTTCTTATTCATTCTTAAACTCAATGTTGAAATTGCAAAGCATGTATAGCTTTACGCTTTGAATAATATTGTACTATTGGATGATGAGTATCTACATGAAGATAACTTTTTAGGTAAAGTTATAAAAAATATAAAATTTCAAAAAGGTCCTGCAATATGGATAGGCTGGGATGAAGACGGACAATTTGAAAAATCACTGGAAATTGGGATCAATTGGACAAGGACAGACATTTCAATAGGTCAACTAGGGAGATTTAAAAAGAATTAACACAAGGGTTCTTTAGCAAACAAAGGGCGTAACTAGCAATGGCCGGTACGGTCGGCCGTCGACCTGATGGTCCCTGCTATCTATCCGACACATTTCTTGTTTGAGGTTCTGGCCGGGGTGGAATTTTCAATATTTTCCAAAAAATTTCGTTTCCCTACGAGGACCCGCGGAAATTCTGTCAGCTGGTGACTGCAGGTCTTACAACCAGCAGCAGGGGGAAATATACCATCTAGAAAATTTTCATATAAGGGGTCCCACTGATTGCCTTAAGAGATAGCCCGCTACATTCATGCTTCAGTGATTCCATATGTAATCAACTAAATGTTTCCAATGAAAGGAGGGGGCGGGCCCTCAGGGCCCCTTGGGTCCGCCTATGGTAGCACTATATTAACATTAGTAATAGGCATCGGATTATTGACATTTGAGAAAATAACAATTATCTTAATGGATTTTTAGCAGCAAATCAAAAAATATTGACAATATGATAACTCTTTACACAGGGTAACTTTAAAAGAATTATATACATATTAGTCCAGTCAAACTAAGTTTGAACCTTAAACTAATTGCAACATAAAATGTTTTAGTTCTAATTTATAGCATTAAGCCCCAAAAATACACAGAAAAAAAGACCTAAAAAATTTAACTTAAGGAAAACTCATAATTTGCATTTTTAATTTCTTATAGAAATTTACATTGGAATGGGAGATAAATAGGCAAAAATGAGTCTTTTTTGTCAGTTTTTGGTTGATTTTTTTAAAATTCATGTAAAATATGATACTTTGATGGGGTTGTAAGTTCTTATTTGACTATGTCATATAATCTTCTGCTCATAAAATGTACAAAAGCGAAGTGTTATGGGTATTTTTATTTTTTTGCACATTTTTCATTAAAGAAATAGCAAATTTAAGTTATGGCTTTGTGACCAATTTTAAGAAATAATGTGAATATTTGGTATTGTTTATATCTGTAAATTATATTTGTTCAGCATCTACCTTGTTTAAAGAAACTTTAAACCACAAAAAGAAGAATATAAACTTTGATTTTCATTGAAAGCCCATTACAGAAAGATGTTTCTCAAAGTAAGTATACTGTCTTTCTTTTAACCAATTTTTTTTTAGATTTTACTTTGAAACAGGAGTCAATGTTTATAACATAAATTATTATACATGACTGTGACTTTTTGTACGCGACTTTTTGTCTGTGACTTGCTGTCTTACATTCTAACCGTTATCAGGAAAAATGACTTTATACCTATTTATATGTAATAGGCTTTGCATCAAATTTATAGAAACACTTAGATTGAACCATTAATTTTATCAAATGAGAAAATATAAAATGCTTTGCAAACATATTAGCAAACAATAAATGTACTGACTTTTCGGGAACATTTAAAACTAAGACAAGGCTCTGGCAACCCTCAAGTTAAGTGCGTGAATATGTTAACTTATGTTTTATGAAAATATTTAAAACTACCACGATATCATGCACAAGGCTCAGGCATGCCTTAAGTAGTACGTGGAAATAATTTTTTACTGTAAGAAAATATTAAAAAACAAACTATATTGGATTTATCAACTTACATGTATGTATAGCCTACTTCAATCAAACCTTGTGTGTTACTTTATATTTGTGATCAAACGTGTCAAATTATAACCGGTAATATACAACATAATTTACAACACAGTTTAATACAATATACTACTCAATACCATAAAAAGTTTAATTATGTTTCAAATTTAACATAAATCCTTTAAGAAATACAAAAAATATTAGCATTTTCATTTGGTCCTGTCATTGGTCCGAGTACACAGTTATTTCGTAGTGCATTTCTTTTAGACAATAAATGAAAATAAAAAAAATCCCACCTGCGCTTTCTCAATAATATTTTTACAGTGTGTTGTACTACTTTTGGGACAAATTATATCAAAATTATAGAAAACTTCATCGGCTCTAACTCAAAATATGGACAATTCTATGTTAAGGGGGTCTTGAAATCTTTTGACAGCTTCCGAAGTGCTAATTTTTAACCTTTTTCAGCTGGACCAAATCACTACTTTACTTTACAATTCATGACCCAAATTTTTTTACAGTGTAATTTCATCCCCCTACTTGCTATTTGAAGCATAAAACATGAAGGAATACATTTGGAAGGGGTACTAAAAAAATTGGCAAGCAACACACTGTCCACACTAGGGACTTTATTCGTGGACAACGAAAACCAAAGGACGATAACTGTGTACTCGGACCCATTGTCAGCGTTGGTCAGGTCACGTTTAATGAAGATTTAAAAAAGTTTTCAATATTTTTCTTATATTTATGTATTGAATGGTCTAAATTTATAACAATTCAAATTTGACAGAAATCCTTTGATGAATAAAAAAGTTATTAGCGTTTTCGTTTTGGTCCAGTCATTATTGTAACCCAACTAAGGGAGATAATTCGTATTGTGAGGAATATTACACAATGATCATTTTTTAGAAATTAATTTCGCATGTTTCTAGGTAGATTGCCCATAACTTTTTTAGATTTTTGACTAAAACAAGACTGAAATTAATTGTTTTTGTGTTTCTTTTTAATAGATGTAGCCGCATAATGTCACAACACTACACCAAATATTGTATTTTTCTCAAAAATCCCAACTTTCTGTGCGGTTACCATGGTAACCAACCAATATATATATATCGGTTGGCATTATTTTTCTGACTAGTCTAATAGGATCTACATATCAGCCAATTTTTAGAAAGATCGGTGACTATGTGTGCCGATAAAGTTTAAGTGATTACAGAGAATGAGTATTAAGTAGTTATATTACAAACACATTTAACATTTATATTTAGGCGACATGAGCATATTACCTGTCAGACCATGTGATGTCTTTATAAAGAATATTTTCTGTCATACTCATTTCCCTAGTATGTCAATTTTTGAAATTCTTCAATCTAATAGATGCTTCAATACATTAATGTTTTAGAATTTCTTGTTGACAAAAAGTAAAATTACAAAAATACCATAACTCCAAGGAAAATGCCAAACGGAAAGTCCTTTATCAAATGGCAAAATCAAAAGCTCCAACACATCAAATAAATGGAAAACAACTGAATTGGTACAGGCATTGTTTTATGTAGAAAATGGTGGATTAAACAGAACAATTATCGTCACAACAATTTAAAAGAGAAGGTGAATTTTATTTTTTTTTTTACAACACATTTTCACCAAATTCAAATGTTAACAAACAAGGCTAATGAAAATCCAATTGTTTATTTCTAAATCTATTTGACAAGCGCCAAGAAGTATTGTGTTATGCTGAATTGTTCATGCACATTTGAACAATCTATAGTTTTACTCGTATCATTTAATCTAAACATATTCATATAAATATTGTTTTAAGTGGTGAAATTATTGCACTCATGAATTTAAGTATAGTTTTTGGTAGATATCCTTGTCAGAGAATTTAATTTTTTTAACTTGAAAGAGAGGTTTTTTTCATTAATCTGTTTCTATATTGTCTATTGATATAAAGCAAGGTTTGATACATACATATTCGGCTGCTTTTCTGTAGGCTTTTTTTGGGCTTTCCTCAAAATAATCTGCTAGACTAACGTGACCAAATTACATATATTTACATGCTGTATTCAATATGAACTATTCTGCCTAACACTATTTTGTCATCAATTGCTCAAACAATTTGATTACTTGTACTGCATTAAATGGACTATTTGTGTTACTTGAAATCTGATTGTCATAATAATTGTCATTGGCTATCGATTACGTTTCTCTTATAAATAAAACATCAAGTAGGACTTTTAGCTTCTATTAAAAAAGCCTTTTATACATTTTGGTTTTTTTTTGTCGTGCAAATAGGGCAATTCCGTACCTTAGTTTAAATCCTTATGCTTAAACTGTTTACCCCGAGGAACTAATAAATACTTGGGTTTCTTTTATTAGTTCAGATATTTTTTGTTTACTGAACAAATTGAAATTCATGTATTCAAAGAGGGAGGGTTTGCTAAAACAATACTTTTTTTTTTAAACCATTGGCACTCTCTTATTAGAGGACATTTCTCTTAGGTTTTTTAATGAGTTGGATTTTTGTATTATGAGACAATTTTGTCTCATAATACAAAAAAAAGGGGGGGGGGGGGGTAGTTACTTCAAATATTGACTCTGTGTCATATGACAATATTAAAGATTAGGTGTCAAGCAAAACAAAAATATAATAAATTTCTGGTGAGTCATTAGAATATGAAATATCTTAGCGCACAGATCGTTATTACTTTAAGTTTTGATTTTATACAATAAACTGAAGGTTTTGCAAGATTAATAGCAAATAGTTTTATTTCGTAATCATTATCAAACACATTTGCCATCATACCACATCATCTTACTTTAATTTTGAATATCGTATAAAATTAAGAATTGTATTTCATCATTGTGACAGCTTGTTTTTTCAAGAAACTTCATTTTGCCCGAGATTTTACCTTTCAAATTTAAATCTTTGAAAATATCTGATTACCAAAAAATGGTTTTCTTGTCTTGTATTAATTCCGAACTATCGGTTACTGTTCGGCCGTATGCTCTATAATATATTTTAGAAAATTTTGTAGAAAGTTATCATTAAGAATAAGAGGGATGGTTCGTCAATATATTTATAGATGTTTTTCCCCAAATGCATATGATAACAGAATATTGTCCGTTGAAATCAGAATTTAGATATCTTTTTTTTATATTTGAGCATCAAAAGTCCATGTGTTAAGTTTATGGGCAGGTTTGAACATTTTACACTCTTATATGTACATTTTATGCAAACTCCATATACTATATACTTTCATTTCCACAATTGGAAATGCTGAAATAATTGTATATTAGTTTTGCACAGTATTTTCTTAGTACATATTTATTCTTTCACTTGAGGCTATGGTAAGTTGCTAATTGTGTCCGTTGTTGTCTGCACCTACATATAAAAAGGTTTTTAAGATCCCAGTTAGCCTTGTTTGGTTTTTTCTCTAAGCAGTTGATGGACTAATATGATCAAATTATTTAGATACTATGTAGGTACAAGTTCAAAGTGAACAGTTTTGCTAAACACGTAGATTATATAATTTTAACATCAGTAGTTTTACGAAATAGGTAACAAATATTTGAACATGCTGACAACCAGTGGTAAATACGAACTGAGAGTTGACTTGGTTGATACCAATAATAAAAAGACGTATGCAGTTTATAAGACGTTTGTTGTTGGTGATGAAAATTCAAAGTTCAAGTTAACTATTGGTGATTACACAGGAACTGCAGGTATGTTGATGTAGACGTATGTTTATGTAAAAGCAACTTTCACATATTCATTCAGACTGTTTTCAACTCAACTTCCTCCAAATGATCTCTCATTCTTTGTCTTTTGCCATGGGTGCTCAAATAAAGGTCAATAGAAATTATTTTCTTTGTTTAAAAAAAATAAAATAAAAACCAAGATAAAAATTGATTTTTCAGATTTTTTAAATCAGAATATTTTCTTATTTAACCTTTGATATTGGAATAGGAATCAACAATACTTGTCTCTTTTGGGTCTTCTTCTTTAGAATCCTGTATATTTTGTCTTAATAATTCGATTGAAGGCCAATCCATACATGGATATATAACAGACATATATATAAATGTCAAAAGATCTTGTAATGTTGTAACCTGAAAAGTACCATTTTACTGTTTCACTGAAGAGTTAAATACAAGCAGTAGGTCATCCATACATTTCTCCAATTCATTTTCCTGAATGTTATATATAAATCAAATCTTTCACCTTACTGCGTTAAACGTGTTTGATCTGAAAACATCCAATAAGAGGTCATGCTCATTGACGTTTTAGCATCCAATTGAAATCTTTGCCAAAAAAAGGTTCGGTATAGTTTTCTATGGACTATCAAAAATTGTGTCGGGCAAACTGGAAAATATTTCCGAATATGGTTAGGAAATTTGCTGTGTCTAACTGAAAAATGTTCTGAAGTGGTGCCGAGCTTATGCACCGAATGAATTTTGAAGATTCCTCCAAATCGTTTTATTCATGATTTATATGTTATTGCTTATTTTCAGATCTTACAAAAAAAGGAAGATCAATCAGATTATGTTCGTGAACATTGTCTAAAAAAATCTGAAAACTGTTTAATCAAGGTAATAGAAGTTTACCGATGTTCAAATCTCGTAATTCAATTTACAAGTGACAAATCAAGGTATCACATAAAAACTGAGGGATCGCATGAAGTCAAAAAGAAAAACGACCGACTGTGTCGACAGGATAAGTGTGTCCTGTTTTGGATGCATCACCCGCCATTAGAATTCACACTCAGTCTAAATGTCACAATCGGGAAACCCTTAGGGTTTTTAAGATTTGCAGAATTTATTACGTTTCCTGAATTTCAAACCAAGAAATGAAATCGATATAAAAATTGTCACTTTTATTTGGTTTTAAATCTTTTCTTGAGAAGCTGAAGTTCATTTTCCTTTATGTTTATGTGTATTTAATGCGTGTTTCGTTTTTGCTATTGGTCTCACAATTATGTAGATGTTTCATTCCATTTTTCAATACATATTTGTTTATAAGTCTTGAATTGGTAGCAGCAAACATGTTGCACGAAATAAATCTTGCATAAATCACCCTCACGGAAATTGAAATACATTAAGTATCAAAGTGACAGAGAACATGAGGTAATTTCATAAATTCTCACCAGCAAAACCTATGACATAACTATCGGATTTGCAAAAAGAACGATATCATTTTTTTTTCTCGAAAGTTTGTGTGTGTGCAAAATTGTTGAAAAATTGATTGCATAGTAGTCGTTTGAAAAAAATAATAATTGTAGGAAATAGAATGGATTACAACAATGGTAGACCCTTCACCACCAAGGACAGAGACAATGATTCCAGTAGTTCAAATTGTGCTACTAATAACAACTATGGACCATGGTGGCACAAAAGCTGCAGTTATGTTTACCTTAATCTTGACTTAAAAAAAATAAAAATGAAATGGTATAATTTTAAGTTCATCAAAGCTGTAATGAAGATCAGAAAAATCACCTAAAAGACATTTCTGTAAATAGAATAAAAGACACTAGATGCAAGTTTTATTTTTTTTTCGGAAAGGGGAAATGAAAGGGTTGATATGAGACATCAGTCAGAAGACATTTGAAGGTACAGTGAAGATATTCCGAAATTTAAAACAAACAATCGTACAAATATATCTAAAGTGAAGAAAATAAAATCTTGTTTTCCTTGAAGAAAAACTACATTATGTGATCTTGAAAAAAAAATGATTGACTTCAAATCTTTAGCTCACCTGGCCTTAAAGGCCAAGTGAGCTTTTCTCATCAATTGGCGTCCGTCGTCGTTAACTTTAACAAAAACCATCTCCTCTGAAACTACTACGCCAAATTTAACCAAACTTGGCCACAATCATTATTAGGGTATTTAGTGTAAAAAATGTGTCTCATGACTCTGCCTGCCAGATAATATGGACGACGCGGCTACAGATAGAACATAGGGGTAACATTTTTAAGTTTGGTCTGTTATCTGAAAACCGATATGAATTGAGAAAATCTATCAGGGGAAAAATGTTCAGTATGATGAGATCTACAAATTATCTACACACATCTAAACTGTCAGACAATTTCTTATAGGAGTTATTGATTTAAATGGGGAATTTTACCGATTTTTTTCATGTTTTCCTAATATCTGAAAAAAAAAAATAGATAGAGAAAAACCTCATATACCATAAACGATCAACATGACACGATCTACATGGTCTAAACCGTCAGACGACTACTTATTAGAGTTAATACCCTTTAATGACGATTGTTATCAACTTTTTTGCCTTTTTGTCTAATATCTGAAAAACTATTATAGATAGATGGAAACTTAAATAAGCAAAAGTTATCAGCAAGACGAGATCTACAAATAAATTCCGATCTTGAAATCATCTGACGACCCCTTTTTTGGAGTTTATTGCCTTTTGATAATGATTTTTACCATTTTTTTGCGTTTTTCTCCATTATCTAGAAAACTTTAATAGATGTATAGAAACTTATATTAGCAGACATGATCAGATAGACTCTGTCTATATATGAATCAAATATAAACTAAAATCATCAGTTGACTCCTTGTAGGAGTACTTGCTCTTTAATGACGATTTTTACAAATATTGTACGTGTTTGACTACTATCTTGAAAACTATAATAGATAGATGGACACTTTAGATAGCAAAAATGATCGACAAGACATAGTACAAATCAGTAAAATGTTGCCGAAATTGTTGCTTTACTCTTTATAGGAGTGATTACCTGAATTGCTTTTTTCATACCGTATTTTGTGTTTTGGGCAAAAACTAAAAAAAATAGAGAAAAACTGTAAACAGAAAAAATTATCAGCAATAAAAGATCAACAAAAAAAGAAGGTTTTTGTCATGAATTCTATGTTAGTCCACAATGTTGGAGAGAGTCCATTGTTGAAGATGCTCATAGACCTAAGTGAGAGACGTCGGCCCTTTAGAGCTTCTAGTTACTCGTATCCATTTGTTGTACAATCGAATCCGTTCTTTAGAAAATGAACATTTTATCACGGATCTATTATCACTATTATTATCATCAAACGTACAAAGAGAAAATCTTTTGTAATTGAACTCGCAACGTTCAGTATGACAACTCATTTTTTTCAATGTTAAAGGCAAAAAAAAATATTCACGGCTCTTTTACTGAGAATTTTGTAAAGGGTTCGTTTTTGCCACAAAATGAGGAATATCATTTCTATTGATATTTGGTTGGATTCTATGAATTTAAGTGCCAGTCTGTCTAGGTTACAATGAAGTAATTATTTACATAGCCGACAATGGTAGCCTTTTTGGGTCCTGCGTTTTCACTATAAAAGATCCGTTGGTAAAAATGTCAAATTCTGTATCAACACCTTTGGGTGTAAATAAAACTGCAAAACACATATGGTGCCGCAGCTTTTTTGATAGAAAAATGGCATTTTTTAAGGGTACTCAACGGTTCTGAAATTTTCGAAATAGTATGAATGAAGAACACCACTTGCTTAATTTGGCGCAGAAAATGTTGCTCGTCACAGAGAGTTTCCTCCAAATTTCTCGCTATTTCTAATTAGAACCGTACAATCACAATGATTGTAAAAATAAATACTAAAAATAATATTAATTTCAGGTGTAAGCCCCCGTCTCGTGGGTTTTTTTGTCTGCTTGTCAAAATTCCTTTCCCTAGATTTTGTTGCTTTCTTCATGTTAGAACACAATTTACAGAGTTATTTCCTCTAGCAGAACTCTTTTAGTGCAAACAATGTGGATGTCATGCATGTGGCCAGACAATACTGAACTGTTGTTTTTCAATCTTTTCTGACGATGAATGTGGGTATTCACAGTATTCTAAGGATGAAAAAGAGAACACGCTAATTGGCCAATGTAGTAGAATTGTTGAACCACTTCTCTAGGATTAAAATATGCAAAAATCTAGTCGGAGGGACATTTGATTTTATAATGTATTGGGATCTTTTCCCACTTACAATCATACTTCGTTTATCTAAAACACCAACAAAACCTAGGGATATGCAAGAGATTAAAAGAAGGAAGGTTGGGTGTGCACAACCGTCTCGTAAAGGAAGATCAAAACCAGACGTCGCAGACCAGTGCCCATCCAGATTAGCAGGGCCTTTTCTTGGTTCTACAGAAACCTTTGCCAATTAGACCAGGTACACTATTTACATATTATTATATATCAAAAGATGATTTTGAACATACACCATTCTCCTCCCCCCATCACTTTATTGTAAAATTGAAAATGATTAAGGTTCAAAATGAATATAAAGAAGGGGGGCTCATATCTTGTATTTTGGCAGATTTTTTTCTATTAGATTGAAAAGAAGTTAATTAATTTTTTCTTGTATTTTATAAAGGAATGAAAAACTGGTGATAATGCCAAAAAATATCAGTGTGTACTAAGCTGAAGGAGACCCCTGAAAAAGGGATTATTGTTCTTCCGATGGAAGGTTCACATGAATACTTTAGCAAATGTTTAAGGTTTCATGCATCGTGATGCATATAGGCCTAAAAAATAACACCGGTGTTTCGACTAACACGCTGAAAAGAATTAGGTTAGATAGGTAGGAAAATATTTTTTTTTTATAAGTTTTTGACTATTTTAAAAAGGGGAAATAATTTGACTCAATATAAATAGGGCTCGTTCAAATTTTACAAAAATTGTTAGGGTCCATTTTTATGCGTAGGTAAGGTTATCGGAGGCACAACTAATTTTTTTTTAATAGGCCTTAAACAAATTAGGTAAGGTAATATTGTAGAAATATTTTTTCATTTGTTGATTTTTTTAACCATACCTTATTGGGTTAATGGGAGGAATATATTGTTTTTATCAGTGCTACATTGTATAAAAAAGGACAAATAAAAACTTTCGGGTGTACTGTAGGCATTTTTATTCATAAAATATAGGGTCAGTATTTTTGGTTTGCCTAAGGACCATCACTTTCTTTATAATTCTTGAATCTACTAAAAAAATGTAACCCAAAGCCCTTGAAACTCTATACATATAGCTAGCTCCCAGGGGTTAAAACATATTCTGCATATCTAGTACTAAGGGAAATGATTTTTCTAAGTTAATGTTATTTGCATATTATTAAATTGGTCTAAAGTAAGAGCTACAAAGAAATGTTTATTGTATAAATAATTTATTCACGTACATGTATATATTTTTATCAGATTTCTTTCTTCAGGGATTTGAAGTAATTGCAGAGGTGATTTGTAAAGACGCATACCTTATTTGAAAGAACTCCCTATAGAATACTAGTGCATTGCTGAGGTAAACATTATTTGAATCTTTATATTTTATTTACCAGTAATTGAATGTTTATTTTAACCCCAACACAATATATGACCTACATTTTTCTGCTGGAGCAACTTGGGTAAAATTTTTACAATGCTAAACAAGAGTTATGCAGAGGGCACCTACATATGTATTGTCAACAACTTCAAGAGTTTTTTTTTGCTTGCACAAGAATCATGCATTTCCTTTCCCCACAAATATAGCGGTGTCGTTAAGAATTGTAAAAAATTGTGATTAGGTCAGTTTAAGAGGAACTACTAATGGTAAATAAATGATATTTGATATACAGTTGTATAAGCATTCAATTTGATGCATCTCATATCCGTGAAGATTATTTGGCCCTGTCCACTTAGTCATGGTCTATTGACCTTGTTACTTTAGCAAAGTTTATATTGTAAAGTTTGTGATTACATGTACATAATGTAAATCAGTTAAAGGCGAACCACTTATGATACGTTAGTGATATTTGGTATGCAGTTGTATTTAGCATTAATGGCATTTCTTATTTCCACAGACATTATTAGGCCCTATACTTTCAGTAATGGTTCATTTACTTTGAATATTTTGCATATTTTACATTTCAGAGTATTGATATTTCATTTCATCATTTGCATTTTTCTATCAAATTTACATACAGACAAAACATATCTGTGTCAAGTTTATTTTTTAACTTTTACATGTTTTAGTGACAAAAAATGAGAAGAAAAACTTATGATTTTAATGCGGAAAATGACGAGTGCTTGCGAAATCACTGGTAAGCAAAAAACAAAACAATCGTCCACCTGGGACTTATACATAAATTTATATATTGGTCCCACCAACATGTACCAAAATTAATAAATTAGTGTTCGTTTTTTAAACTTCCATCATTAACATTTCAATCAACCAAAATGCTTCATTGAACTTAGAATTATCAACATGAACTGGGGCAATATGCGTAATTGATTTTACATAGGAGGTAATGGTAACGTTTTCCTCTGTAGCACAGTCCGTATCGTAAACTTGGATATGCATGATGGCTCATTTCAAAGCTGAGACATTTTCACATATGTGGTTAAATTTTCGAGGTACGAAGTGTGATTTATTTTTCCGTAAATTAGCACACCCCGAAAATCCTTTCGTGATGCGGCTCCTGGTGGTAAAAAATCCCTTTTTTTTCACACAATAAGTTCTTTGAAAATTTAATACTTTGGATACATTTAATAACTGCATAGTTTTTACACATTTATTCTAATGTCCTCTACTTTTCAAATTAACACAAATGATTAAGCTCAGTCACTTGTTAAAAATAGAAACATGTCCAATATCACTACACAGAGATTTTTTGTTTACGCACAAC